GAGCAGAACGGGGAGGAGGAGTGTAAGAGTGACGGTTCGTCGAGAACGCCGGTTGTGTTGCGGGAGGAGGTTCGGTGAGGGATGAGGGAAATGGTGGAGTAAAGGGTGAGGCGCACTCGGCCATCATCGGCTGAGGCGCGCACAGTTCAGTGACCTGCCTTGGTGTGTTGGTGGTGAGAGGATTGTGGGGTAAAGGGGAAGTTCTGACATATTGTGAGATGCCAACCCGCTACGCCGGTCCCCGAAAAACACCACTATCTCTTTCTCTCTCTCTCTCTCTCTCTCTTTCTCTCTGTCTATCTCTTTCGTATGTGCGTACGTACACGTACAACACGACGCATACTCTTACTCCGAAGCTCGTCGAACCCCGAAATATATTCACGCGGCAGTCGTGGACTTTCCGCGAGTTTTTCCGCCCGTATTAAATACAATACCAAGAAATTAGGATAATTACGACTACGACAACGACGACACCCCCTTCCTGAAACCCCTTAAGCCATCCCCCACCTAACGCTTTTGTTTATTTATTTATTTCTTTTCTGTGTGTATGTGTATGTGTGTCTTTGTGTGCTCATAGTTCATTAGTTCCGTTCATTTCTCTTTATACATATATATATATATATATATATATATATATATATATATATATATATATATAATACAAATATGCATTTAATGTACTTTTAAGGTGTACTGTGTGTCACGTGTTATATTGTTTTTTAAACAGTAATAAAAAAGAAGTTAAAAATCTGTCGAAATTTTTGAACGAAGAAAGGAAGAAGAAGTGGTGTCTGTTGCTTCCTGGTTCATCGTCAACGTTGTGTTGTCGCTGCACATTCCTATTTTTTTTTCTCTCATTGCTATCCTTCCACATATGCATACACACATACATACTTCATTGTCTCTTTCTTCTTCTTCTTCTTCTTGTTCTTGAGTATCAATCGAAAGAAAACACATCGAAAGGGACTACTAAAAAAAACTCGCGAATTAACCGGAAGAGATCGTGAAAAGTGTGCATGTGTGCGTGCGTGTGACGCATCATGCATGTGTTTTTCTGGTGTTTACGTAGCGAATAATTAAAGTATAGTGCCGGTGCTAACGAAACGAAATAATACAAGGAACAACCAGGAATGGGTGGTAGTGGTAGTGGTGGTAGTTCTTCACTTTTGGATTTGATCCAAATCGAAAACTTGTTTTACCGTTATCCACCTCCCCCTCCTCCTCTTCCTCCTTCTGCATTACCCAATACATTGGTTAGTGACATTAAATAGTTTCGATGGGTTCTATTGGTTTGTTAGTTACTTTGTTTGTTTGTTTGTTACTTAGTTAGTTAGTGATAGTGATAAAATGGTAGTGTGTAAAATCTTAAGTGTATTTTCCTGATAGCACATTTGTGTATTGGCGTTCGCGTGACACGCGCGACCGCTCGTGGCGGTCGAGCTGTCGGAAACGAGTAGGATTCTTCATAGTATTATATGTGTATGAGTTGTGTGTGTGTATATGTGAAAGCGTGTTTAAGTTCAAATATACATTTGGAGTCTTCCTACGTTAACTTGCTAATGCGTGTGTTACTTCGCGCGTGTATGTGTGTATTTTATTTTATTTTTTTTTTATTTAATCGTTGGTTCCAAATATATTAGTTTAGAATTATTTTTCCTTTATTTTCTTTTTCTTTTTGAACATATATATATATAGCTCTTTTATAAACGAATTATATTGTGTAACTCTTTATCTTCTTATATTTCTCTTTATTATATCAAATAGATAAGATTACTTTAAAAACAGAAACAGAAATAGAAATAGTTAGATGAAAAGAGAAAGAGGGATAGAAGGAGACATAGGATTGGACGTTTGTAACTTCGAAAACAAAAAAAGAACATGGCGAATAACGAACATAACCCTTCTACACCATCGTCCTCGACTATGACAATGTAAACCGGTATTTCACCGAGCCCAAGCGTCGCGATCTCTCTTAAGAGATCTTTCAAACAACTTCACCTTCTTCTCAACCAACTCATCGTGGACATACAACATCATATCTCTTGGTTGTCATCGTAGTAGTAGTAGTAGTAGTTACACCCAATGTCGTACACCAAAAAATTATCTTCCTATTTAAATAATCCTACGCTTTTAACCTCACCCTTTTCTATCCATAAAACGAAGAAATATACTCAACCAATGATTATCTCGGTAACTTTACTCAAAACTTTTCGAAAATATTCTTTGATAATACTCTTTCATTAAAAATAAAAAGAAAACAATTTCAAGTGACCATACTATCTCAAGCACGTGGGGGCTTGGCTTCGTTTAACGATCGTCAACTCCTCTATCTTTCTTTCTTAATCTGTTTCAAGTACTTGTATATATATATATATCTATATGCCCGAGAAGAAAAAATAATAATAATAATAATAATAATAATAATAATAAAAAAAGAAACTTAACGTACGTAACGATCGCAATCATTCCTACCAACACACAACTGACGACTGATACTTGCTGATGAATAGTAGAAAACACGAAGTAATCTTATTTTTCTTATTGTGATTCAAAAAAAGAAAAAAGAAAGAAAAGGGGATCCAAATTTAGGCCCCCCAACTCGTTTTTCTTGATTTGGATAGTTCCGGGTATAGAAAGAACACGAAGGAATCTTATTTGTCTTAATCTCATTAATAAGAAAAGAAAGAAAACGAAAAAAAAGGGAACAAAATTTAGGCCCCCCTTTTCTTAATTTGGGGAGTTCCGGGTATAGAAAAAAGTGTAGTAGTGTAATAGTAGTAGTAGTAATAGCAATAGTAGTAGTAGTAGTAGTAGTAGTAGTAGTATTATAACCGGCGCGTTGCACTCTTGCTGGGGCAAGGCATGACGCACGTCGAAGATGCGAGCGTGCCGGGTGACTGTACTCTGGGTTCATCGTTCTCGGTTATGTAATGTTCGACCGTATGTTGCAAGCGCCTCAACGCTACTCGTGGCGCTAGAGTTGTCCAACTCGTGAGAGAGAAAAAGATAAAAAGAGAGAGAGAGAGAGAGAGAAGCACACAGATGTACATGCATACACATACATATACAGAGATTCAAAAACAACAGGGCAAACCAAATCTCTTCGTTGCTGCTTCCGTGCCCTCATCTCGTTTTTCACGTATATACATCATACATATATATATATTATTAGGCGTATGTGTGGGCATTGTACATGTGCGTGACGTTGTTCCTATCTCTCTCTCTCTCTCTCTCTTTCTCTTTTTATCTTCTTGCATCGGCTTAACGCACTCATATAACGATATTGAGAGAACCGGCAGCAGCAACTGCAGTAACAGTAACAGTAACAGCATCAGCATCAACAGTAGCAGCAGCAGTAACACTAGCATCATCATCATCATCATCATCATCATCATCATCATCATCATAGTCATCATTATCATTATGAGCAAGCTCCGAACAAAAATAGAGACCGGCGAGAAACATTTCAACACCCGGCGCATTATTTCATTTAATTCTACACCTACACCTGGCCCATTCAACCCCAGAGAGTCCCAAGAAGCCCCCACCCAACTCAAACCCATTTTCTTGACTTTTTCAATGAAGTCTTGATTTTTCATTTGGTTAGTTGTTCTCCTTGATTTTTGTTTATCCCGTTAGACAGTGGACAGAATAAGAGTAAGCATATAAGTGGTCAATTCCTCAATTTCCACGATAGTGTGGGCAAATCTAAATTAAGAGGTGGACCGGGATTGAATGTCGGCCTCGAATGAACACACAACGAAATTATACTTTAAAAAAGGAACGTTATTGTACGGACATATTTTGTTGTGGTATTGCGATACGATTTATCGTTACAAATCGAAATACGGTGATGAAAATAGAGGAACATTGAGAAGGATTGAACAAAAAAAAAGAAGAAGTTTAGGAGGAGGAGGAAGGGAGGGGATCTCGTGGGAATATTATTATTATTATTATTATTATTATTATTATTAATATTATTATTATTATGATTATTATTCGATGATTATATTTATGGAAAAACAAAAAGTAT